TCTTGGGAAATCTTCAAGGTTTCCAAGCTTTGAGCCAAAATTGCACAATTTCTCCCCCTTTCTCTCTATGGCCGGCCCTCTCTCTCTCACAATTATATAACTCAGATTTTGAGTTGCAAAGAAATAAAGGAGAGTGTACAAGGCCCTATAAGTAAAAGTCCACTAACCAAAATTATAATATTTAATAATTTGAACACTATGCTATTAATTAAATCAATTTAATCTGATCTGAATCAATTTTCAATTAAATTTCACCATAGGCCCCAAAAATTACGCTAATCACAATGGCGTAATCAATTTCGGGTTCTGTGGTCGATAAGGCCTTCAATTTAATTTTCAAAGCAAACAATCAAACAGATATTCCTACGGTGAACAGATAGAAATTCAAAACCACATATTTTCACATAATGGCACACAAAATCATATTAAACACGTAATCATACTCATATTAATGACCAATTAACATATTACGGAACAGGGATATCACAGTTACAGATTCAGAAAAAATATTTAGAGAGTAGCTTTTAGTTATTTAAGTTTTTTTTTTTTTTTTTTCTCTTGTGTTTTTAAGAACAGAAGTACTTCAAAAACATGGTAACCACATGAATTTTTTTTTTAATGTTCTTTTCACATTGTTTTGATGGAAGGACAGTAAATTTTGTGAAGTAATCTTGCTTCACCGCCAACCTATAATGAGAGTTTTTCCACCAGCCTAGCTGATAGTAGGAGCATAGAAGCTGAATTCAAGGTTCAACAATAGCCGCTATCTTTGAAATTTCTAGTTTTAGTTGTATTTGCATTAATTGAGTTTATACTGTCATGTTTGTCCATAAATAACTAATGTATCAGAGTGGTAAATGTGTGGGAAAAAGAAGAGCGTTAGAGAGTATGAGTGTGTTTCTCCTCTTTAGTGTATTCTAAATATTTGAGTGAAATAAATATGTTTTTAAATTATAAATTCTCTCACTCGTATTTGTTTTTTGTGAACCACCATAAGTGGTTTGCACCCCACTCCCACTAACAATGGTATCAAAGCTGAAGGTAGCTTGAATTTGCAGACATTCTGCAAAATTTTCAAGAACAGAGCATTGGTTCAAAACTTGTCTAGAAGTTAAAGTTGTTGAAATCAACTATTGATTACACCAGTGTGTAGGTCTCATCAAGACGATCGCACGCAAAAAAATAGCATCGAAAATTGAGACGGGAGGATCCTACACGCACCACGCGCTCTAGTTGATGTCGTTCTCACGCGCCCAGACGCTACACGCGCCAAACGCGCGAACTAGAGGAAGAAGACGACTAAGACAAAGTGAAGAAGCGTAAAGTTAAATAATATAACTTGAGACATAAGACCAAAGGAAATTGTTTGGAAAAGTGGTTAACTCTTATCTCTGAATCACACGGGCCAAGGTTCGAAACTTGGCAGCAGCAAATCAAATTATATTTTTGCCAAGCCATTAGAGTTGAGCCGAACCGAGCTACGCTGTAGGGAGGAGCGACGCCTCTAAGCCGCAGACCGAGCTGAGCCTCCAAGCCGCTGACGTCAGCTGATTCGAAGAAATTATCCAGTGCCTCTCAGAAGTTTCAGATTCTGCGGATCTGAACCGTTCAATTATTTTGGCTAGATCTAAGCAGTTTGAAGTCCGTTTTTGGTGATCCAATAGTATTTTCCAACTATTTGGAATATTCTGGACATATCGATACGGTCAGAATTTGGGAATTGCATCCTGAAAATTTACAGATTTCTTAAAGTAAACCAATGGCCAACACAAACAATTTCTTTCAACCACAATTTTCAAAACTCAGCAAGGAGAACTTTGAAAATTAGAGTATTCAAATTCAAGTCCTACTAGCCTCACAAGATTTGTGAGAGTTATTGGATCGAGGATATGACAAACCAGTTACTCTTGAAGATGAAGGAAATTTAAATGAAACTCAGAAGACGGCGTTAAAAAATTCAATGAATAGAGATAAAAAGGCCTTGTATATACTCTATCAAGGCATTGATGAGTCAAGCTTTGAGAAGATTTCAGCAGCAGCAACCTCTAAAGAGGCATGGAATATTCTTTGTAATTCACATCGTGGAATTAAGAAAACGATCAGAGTTTAACTCTAGGTGTTACATGGCGAATTCGAGATGCTGCACATGAATGAGAATGAGTCAATTTCTGAGTACTTCATTGTTAATCAGATCAGAAGATATGGAGAGAAGATGGAATCTCTTCAAATGATAGAGAAGATTCTACGATCACTCAATCCTAAATTCTAGTACGTGGTTGTAGCAATAGAAGAGTCCAAGGATCTCAGTGCCATGACCACCGATGAGTTGATGGGCAGACTTGAGATTTATGAACAAAGGATCAACAAGAAGGCTCTCTCAAGTTCTCTAGAGCAAACTCTTCAATCAAAGCTGTCTTTTAAAGATGACAGAAACGAGCAAATGGGACATCACAAAGAGGCCGAGAAAAAGGTCGTGATTACAATAACTGAAGTTGTGGTTTTCGAGGAAGAGACGGAAGAGGTCTAGCTAGAGGAGGAAGAAGTCAACTACACTTTGCTCTAAGAGGAAGAGGAGGTGGTTACAGCAACCGACCAGGATTTGACAAAAACAATGTTCAGTGCTATCATTGCCACAAGTTTAGGCATTACAGCAATGAATGCTGAAGTAGAGCAACAACAGAAGCCAGAGAGTAAGTAAATTTTTCCGAGCAGGAAAAAAACAAAAGCGGACCTATAGTCCTGTTTGTCCACCATGGAGATACTGAAAACCAAAATAATTTTTGGTATCTAGATTCGGGAGCCAGTAATCACATGTGTGGTTGTAGCTTGACTTTTTCACGCCCCATTTCAGAAGACGAAATAAGCCCTACAGTATCAGACTCCCGCAGTTCTGAATCTGATTCCACAAGAGCAATGCGAAATAGATAATCACTAAAGAGTCCAAACCCGGCAAATCTTTTGAAAATCGATTTTGAATCAAATTGCCAAAAATGGAGTGCTTTGCCAGATACAGAGTCGCCACCTAAGTATTTTATTTTTGAAAAATTTAGGAAACCCATAACTTGTGCCAAAGGCCACGTGTCTGTGGCTCGAAAACTTAAGTACGAGAGGGGAAGGCCATGAATGAATGAAGCACTCCGCTTCCTCGATCAAAGATCGGCCTCTACTAATCATGATATGAGCCTCATGTACGTTATATGATCTTGTTCCGGTTTACTAGGCTAGCATTATTATGTAATGCGCACACACACAAGTATAGACTAAGTTGCAAGAATTGGAACGCTTGATTCATGTTTGTTTTGAAAATTATTTTGAATATGTACCACTTGAAAAAGTAATCGCATATAAATATTACTCAAATCATTCCAATTAAAGCAATAAGCCTTCATCCACAGGCATTCAAGCAGTTTATCATTCAAGCAATTAGCTTCATGGCAAGCATGCTAGACATGGCAAACAATCACACGCATACAATTTATGCTAAAGCGAGTAAAGGGCTCACCTAGTACTCCAAACCAAAATAAACAAAAGAGTTAGAAAAATACATGATTCTAGCTTTGAGATATGACTAATGCAACACATACAATATGCAATTTCTAGGCTCGGCTACTAATATGGCATATGAATCAATGAAATAACATGCGGTCTAAACACATATTCAAAGAAGTATTTAAACTAACAATGCAAATTAGAATGATAAACCGAGCCTTGATGCCTACAATAGAAGGGAATCGATGATGTCGCATGTGGACGAAGTTTAATTTGAATCGATCCTTGAGTTAGGTTGTTTTGACTTCCCAATCTTGTATACAACCTCATTGGGTTGTCGATCAGCTGGCTTCACTTGGGATGACCCCTTATCCTAGGCTAAGCAAGGCTTGTTATCCATCTAGAGGTCAGGATGAACCCTACGACTAGGTTAGGAAGTCAAACCTTAATTGAGTGTGTGTATATTTGTAGTCGCCTATTTTCAAGCGACGCTTTAACCAAGCATAAGGAATTGGGATTGTCTATGGAGTTGCCTGCCTCTCTCAGGGTTTGGGGTTTGTTTTACTTGGAACCTTTGCATTGATCAACACTTTGGTTTAAACGAAGTCTGGTATGACACATCCATACCAATGATGAGGTTGTGTTTGATTTACTATGTGATTCAACATGTCTCATTGATAAAAGATTTCATTAGGTGATTGGTTTAAAACACAATATGCGCAATATTATATGATACTTGAGACTGTTAAATACTTATCTCACTTAATGTGTGTTGCGATTTTTTATTTACATAATCTATGTCACATAATACTATGAGACAATTTACAATAACGCTATGATAACATTTAGTTTACCATATGATTTGTGACTACGACATTGGTTGATTAATTCTCACCAGTTATATTTGTTTTCAATGCAGTTGTGACAACTCATATGATATGATAAAAAAATTTGATTTCATTAATTTTTCATTCTCAACCCACATCGTTGTCCAAATATACCACCAAATTTTTTTTTTATTATTTTTTTTTCTTATTTTTGGCCTTTAGGAGTAGTCGTTTGATTTTGCAAGGAAGGAGGCTTAAAAAGTAGGAAGCCCCGCGGCAGAGGGGGAGAGTGGAGTTTCTGGATCGTTACTCTGTTAAAAGTAGTGCAATTGTTGTGTTGTGTGTATGTAAATTTCATGGCCCCTGAAACCTTCCTTGTTATATGTATAGGCAAATTCCCAGAAACCTTGATGATCTTTCCCCAAAACTAACATACCAACCACCAATAAAGAAACATTTCCCTCCATTTTCCTTTTTGAAAGCTCACACGTTATTGTAATTATATATACACACCATTCCTTCCTATACCCACATCCCATGACTCTCTTTCTCGCTAGAAACACAATAGCTGCATCTTCAGGTAGAAATCAATCAAAAAAAAGCGAGTACTCTAATGGCAACTTCACAACCCACCTATCCAACTTATCCCAACACCCAAACAACCTCGAACCCTTGTTCTTGTAGTTATACAGACACTCAATCTTCATCACAACCGATGCACGACAGAATCCGATTGATTGTACGCCGTCTGATCTTGGCCCTCATCTTTCTATTCGTCGGGATCACTGCAGTCAGCTTCATCTCATGGCTCATTCTTCAACCCCAGCTCCCTGTGGTTCGCGTCGACTCCCTCTCTGTTTCCAACTTCAACCTCTCTGACTTGCAGACAAATGCCCGATATGAAGTTGAATTCACCATGACGAACCCAAACACGAAGAAAAGCCTTGAGTTTGAGCGATTCTTGGTCTCGGTGTCCTACAATAGGAACCTGCTCTCGAGGGGGTGGCTGGGCCGGGTTTCGGAGGTGAGGAAGATGAATGAGAGTGGAGTGAAAATTGAGTTGGGATCAATCCCGGGAGATAATTCCTGGATAACGACAAGGACGACCATTGAAATAGGGAGTGATTGGGGCGAGAGGAGGGAGGTGAGTTTGAATGTGGGAATGGTGGGTTTGGCTCAATTTAAGGTTAGTGATTGGCTAAATACGCACAGCTCAATTAGTGTTTCCTGTGAGAATTTGAGAGTCGCGTTTAGCTCGAATGACACGAGTTCCATGACAGGGAAGCTCAGGGGTACTAGTGACTGCTCAGTTTACCTTCTTTGACTTGTTATTATGCTCTGTTTATTCTTTTATTCAATTATCTGTTAGATAAATTGGCATAGTGAGTGAATAGTAGCATGATGTTATGTGATTTTCTCCTTTATAGCAATAAGATTGTACCAATTTACAATAAGTCTGAATCAACTACAGAGATTATTAGGGATGGTAATTTAAACCCGGCCCAACGGGGACCCGATCCCCCTACCCCGAAATAAGTGATTTTTCCCAGAAAAATATCCCCGCGGGGACGGGGATGGTATTAAAAAATCACTCCCCGATCAATTTCGGGCTGGGGACGAGGATAAGTGTCCAAGCCCCGTACCCGGCCCGGCCCCGCCCCGCCCCGCCCCCCGCCCCGGTTTGTTCCCCGAAGTAAAATTACAATTTCACCCCTATATATATATATATATATAAAACCCAGACCTAAAACGTTACTCTCACTCATTCAAACTCACTCATATGCTGCTGCTCTCTCCTCTCTCTAACCAAGGACGCTCTGCTCTCTCCTCTTTCTCACCGACGAGGCTCTGTTGCTCTCTCCCCTGTCTCGCCGATGATGCTCCTCCCTCACCGCTGCTGTGCTCCCTCACCGCCGATCCTCCCACTCTCTCTCACACATACGACGGCGACGGCTCATCCTCTCTCACCGACATCGCGGCGGAAACAACGTGATGTTCCGATTTGGAGGGCCGCCATATGCTGCAGTGGAGGAGCAGGGAGTAGTGATCGTGCCCAGTGGAGTGGAAAACACGGAGGTAGCACCGTCAAGGGCCTCTCAGGACGGAGGCAAAAAGAAAAGACCGGCGGAATAGGCGAACAAGGGAGGTCGGGGGGTGGCCGGCTGCAGAAAAGAAAACAAAGCTTTTGGTGTTGTTGTTGTTTTGTGGTTTTTTTTTTTTGTGTGTGTGTGTGTAAAATTGTGATCGGGGTTGATCCTAGAGATGAATAAAATATGGGTTGTTGTGCAAATTTTTTTTTTTTTGTTTTTTTTTTTTTTTTTTTTTTTGGACCGGGGAGTTTTCGGGGTCGGGGAAACCCGATCCCCGTTGGGGGCGGGGATGGGGATGGTGATAGGTTCCCCGTCGGGGATCGGGACCGGGGATGAAGAAATTATCACCGTCGGGGATCGGGGACGGGGACGGTGATCCCCGGCCCCGCCCGCCCCGTTGCCATTCCTAGAGATTATGGTAATCAAAATTGGGCCAAATCAAACTAAAATTTTAAAGTAATTACGATAAACTAAAAAGAATTAAATCAAATTCATTATTTTTTCTTTAAGAATTTTAAAATTATTTAACATACATTATTATTATTATTATTATTATTATTATTATTATTATTATTATTGATAATTCCCAATGATCCCACCTAGATCCGATTTTAAAGACTTGATAGAAAATAATCTTGACAATACATAACAAACTCATATTACGTATCAAATAAGTTAGCTAAGGTGGCCACCATATCTTCCTTAGGACTTAATTTTAAGGAGGTCATGGATTCAATTTCCCTTAGGGGAGTTGAATTAAAGGAGTGTTTTGCCAATGATGGGGAGATTTTCTTCTATAAATGTTAATCTAACAACTAACATTTGCCGATAAAAAAAAAAAAAGTCATTGAATTACAATATAAGACAATTGGAGAGAATTCCAAAACAAGACTTTTTGACAATTATTTTTAAGTTTGTATCTTAAAATTTTCAACACAAAATAAAGAACATAATAAACGAACTCTATATTGGGTTTCTTTGGTGCATCTTTTTCTGAAGTTAAGAAGGGTATTTCCAAGACTATATAATAATTTTCCGTTCAGTGCATTTCTTCATCGTTCCGGTTCTGGCTGTTGTATTCAACGACAGCCGGATGCTCACATCATCACAGAAGACGATTAACAGTGCACTATCCCCAAGATGAGCACTAAAATTCGACTCAAACCTTATCGTGTAACTAGTTGGTTCAGTACTGTTCATATTCCTCGTGACAACACTTGATGGCATAGCAAGGCTGGCATGTAACAATGTCGTGCTCTTCTTACCCTGGTGAAAAGGCGGGAGGGTTGTCCCGGAGAGAAACTCTCCATCTTTGGAGAAAATAAAAACATGTATGGCATCGTAAGAGTAACTAATCCTTGAATTAGGGTTTTTGACGTCGAAAATAATTTCCCAATTGGCAGATTTTTGGAGCAAGTGATTGGGTTGGAACTCAGGGTTTTTATATGCAGAAGTAAGAAGATAAGGCAGGATTAAAACAATGAATAGTGCAAACCCTACCGAGAGTGTCATGAGCAGACTATAAAAAATCTTTTTCGTGGTTCGAAGGGTTGGCTGAGGTTGGTACTGAATAGGGTAGCCCATTACGGTTCCTCTAGCTTCTTCTTCTTCTTCCATTGATGAATGAAGGAATGGATTATAGAAAAAAGTATTGAGGAAGAAGGTTAAATTATATTATATATATATATATAGTATTACTAATATTAATCGTGTTATGCTTTGAATGAAAATAATAAATTAAATATGAGAAGTTTGTATTTCATACTCAATTACTAAATTTTAATTCTACACACAGAGTGGTTAGTTAGGAATTGGACTCTTTTGGATTCCAAAATTAAAGAGGAAAATCATTAGATAATCTTGAAAATTTATAAGTTGTGTTTGGCTCAGATGAGTAACCATGGGGGGAAGCTCAAGAGTAGTCTTCATTTCATCTTCTTTGACTTATAATTATCAAAAAAAAAATTAAAAAAAATTAATTTTTTTTTTAAGAATTACTATTTTTATTACTATTTATAGTGAATAGCATGGTGTTATGTGATTTGTTCCTATAGCTTTCGTTTGTAATTGTTATAGCAATAAGATTGGACCAATTTTTTAGTGGCTGTGTTTTAATTTGATAACAGGTCTACTCACATATAACTAATCAGAATTAATTCTAAAAAGCAATCTTAATCACACATATCAAATGATGAAATCTGTCATAAAAATAAAAAATAAAAAGGCTTTAAAAATTTTTCTAAAAAACTTTTTGGCTTTTCACTTTGTTTTCGTTTAGTTTATCAAAAAAAATGTCTCCATATACTAATAATTGAAATGGTAATATAATTATAATTATGATGATTATGATTATGAGTAATCCAGTCGAATTAGGCTATGTTTAGGGATAGAGATTTGTCATTCACAATTAGTTAATGTATGTAGGATTAAAATTGTACTAGTGTTTGAAATTAATTAGATGATCTATCAAAAGAGATTTGTCATTCATAACTAACTGATGTATGTAGGATTAAAATTGTATTAGTGTTTGAGATTAATTAGATGTCCTATCAAATACAACATTAATATTAAAATTTTATTATTATTATTATTTTTCATGCATAATAACATGAATTTTTTGATAACTACGGACCCAAATCCTAATCCACAGCCAGATTCCTATTGCGGCGGCATAGCCTATTGCCTTGGTATTTTTATGCCAACCATCATTCTCTTTGTGTGCATATGGATACGATTTTTTCAAGTTCTAGATCCCGAATTCCAACTCCAATCGGTCTCCATAGCCCTCTTCAATGTCACCAATGATAATCAAATCGTCGCAAATTGGGACGTCAATTTCAGCATAAAAAACCCTAACCCTAAAACAATCACCTTTTTTTATGATCACATCAAGGCTTTGGTGTGGCAAGAGAAAGACTCGATACTAAAGTGGCCTCATTTAGTCAAGAGGCTAAGAACACGATGGTTTTGTATGCTAAGTTCACCAATGTGTTGGTGAGCATTGATCAATGGATCGTCAGAGATGTTGGGGCGAATCGAGTGAGTGGAATATTGAGTTTTAGGTTGAAGGTATACGAGCTAAAATCCGATTCAAGATCTCTTGGTTTTTGATCGGCAAAAAAGAACTTTATTGATGGAATAAACAAGTTCAAAAGTACAAAGCGAATTACATCAATAAAGAAAAGGATGTGCAAAAGCATCACAATGGGCTAAATCATCCCAACGAGGTTGGCACCATCTAGCTCATCCTATCATTTGCTAGCACCCCTAGAGTTGGTGAGAGACAACGAGAAGAGAGACCACCCAACACGACAACAACAGCACAGACCAAAACAAACATTCATCAAAGACAGACAAACAGCACAAACAACCATTCATCAAAACAGACTAACCAGCACAAAATCCCCAAAACAGCAACCAGAGGCAGAGCATAACAAAACGGCAGAGCATTGGCATATACTGAAGCAATTGATGATGTCATGAATGCTGAATCAACTAACTCCACTACTGAGACTACTACTGATGAAGTAGATGTTGCTACAGACGTTGCAATGACCTTAACTAATGATTAATACTCTTAGCATCCTCTGCTAACATAGCCATTATTTCTAAGGCAAATAAGACCTTGCCATGCATTTGTTTAGAAACTGTATGAATATGAGTTCCCAAAGCATTTCAACTGATTTACCATGCATTTGATTAATCCTAGCATCTTCACCAACTAAATTAACTCTCAACTGCAGCAGCATACACACACTAGCCTGCCTTCACAGAACAGACCAGTAGCATTGCAAAAAAGAATTTAACACATAGCAGACCACAGCTGAGTAGAACATACCAACAAAAATAAGGCCTGAAACAGACCAAAGCAACAGACTGAAACAAACTAACAGACTGAAGCAGAAGAATAGAGCCTGAGCCAACGCAGTAGAATTTGAAGCAACACTGAAAAAAAAAGCTGAGCAAAAAGCAACAACATTGCATAACAGCCCATCCTCTCACAACAGTAGCATATCTTCACACCTGAATAAGGCAGACCAACAAAATATAACTTGACACGCAGCAGTCCACAGCAGCAGCAGTGCAAACTCTGAAGCAACAGCAACATCAGTTTAGCTTCAGCTCAACCATTGAAGACAGACAACAGATGATAGGGCTGGAGTTAAACAATCAAAGAAATCACTGAAAAAATCCAAGACCAGCAGCCATCACACCCTGCATTTAACTCTGTAATACAAGCCTCACCTATCCAGACTCAACACAATATAAGGCAGCATCAAACATTAGTAGCATACAACTCAATAAGCTAGTTATTGAGATTCACTCCCATAGATGTGACAAGGCACATTCCAACCAAAAAGCTAGACTCACCAACCATTGAAAGCAAATAGCAGATAATAGTGCTGGATTCAACTCCCCTGCCTAAACCAATATTGAACCATACTGAACCAAATACATAGGGGAACCACCATAGCTGAACAAAGCAGACCAATAAATTACAAAATGACAACATAGGAAGATGAAACAGAATCTCAAGCAAAGCAGCTGCAATTCTACTACAAGGCCCTACCAGACACACTACACACAGCTTCAAATTTGATGGAGATTAAACACATACTTATCCACTGTGTAACCTTGCCCAACTGAGTGAGTTTTCAGCCAAAGGGCCACTCTAACTTTAATAAGCACACAAAGATCTTCACAGATAGGTTGCAGTCCATTGAAAAGATAGTCATTCCTACACTTCCAGAGGGACCATAGACCAGCAATCAGAATTACTCTCCACATTTGCTTTTCTTTTTTCCTAACCTTCCAACCCAACCACCAGTGCATTAGCATAACCACTGAGCTAGGGGAAACCCAGAGCAAACCCCACCACTTAATTAGATTGGATCAAACTTTCCAAGCAAAGGGGCACAGCAGCAGAACATGATTAAGAGATTCAATCTCAATCTGACAGAATACACAGTCAGAGCTAACTGCTGCACTAAGAATGCCAAGTCTATGTAAGTGGTCAAAGGACTTTATCCTCCATTTCCAAGCCAACCAAGAGAAGAATTAGGCTTTAGGAGATGAGGGGTTGTGCCAGATCAGTTTAGGAATAACCAGATTAGGACCATTCAAAGATTCACACCATTTAGCAGCACTTTTGACAGTGAACATACCTGTAGGGTCAGATTTCCACCATAACGTATCTATTGATTCCAATCTCAATGCAGGACCCTCACCTAAAACAACTCTTAATCTCTGTAGTTCATCTTCCTCCCATGCTAATAAGTGTCGTCTGAAGCTGAGATCTCAATTATTGTGCTGTCTAATTCTAGTCCACTGTAATTTCAAAGTGATACCTCTATCCTCAGATAAAGAGTAAAGTCTAAGGAATTGGGACTTCAAGCACATGGTTCCCATCCAATTATCAACCCAGAAACTGATTCTTTCCCCATTACCAATCTTGATTTCAATATTTCCCAAATAATAATTGAACAAGCTGTTATTAGAATCACCAACAAATATAATGTCACTCCATACTCTTGAAATAATTGTCGCCTCCACATTGCTTCTTATCCATGGTTAAATCCTTCCATTTTACTAAATGCACTTTCCTTCTCACATCTGAATCACCCCACAGAAAGGCTGCATGAATCCTGTCTAGTTCTTTTGCCATACCTCTAGGCAACCTAAAGAGAGACATGTAGTATACAGGTAGGGAGGAAATGACAGATTTGATTAGTGTTACTCTGCCAGCAAAAGACAGCAGCCTCCTCTTCCACCCTGACAGTTTCTTTTTGAAATTGTTCACCACAGGCTTCCATGTGGCCCTCCTAGATGGGTTTGCCTCTAATGGAAAACCAAGGTACTTCAATGGAAGCTTCTGATATGTATAGTTCAGCCTTGAGGCAAAATTTTTCACACACTCCTCTGACAATCCTACTCCATAAACCCCACTCTTATGAAAGTTGATCTCCAGCCCAGAAATGATCTCAAAGCATCTAAGTATTCTCTTGACAGATAGCATTTCAGACCACTCGGCTTCACAGAAAATAATTGTGTTATCCGTGAATTGGAGATGGGAGATGTTGATGGCATTTGACCCAATGATTGCTCCTTTGACTAAGCCCAGCTCTTTTGCTCTTACAAGAAGTAGGTTCAAACCCTCAGCCACCACATTAAAAAGAAAATATAATGGATCACCTTGCCTAAGCCCTTTTTGGGGGCATAATTTAGGTGTGGGGGAACCATTAACCAACACAGAGATTCTTGCTGAGGAAATACAGGTGTGAATCCACTTCACCCATTTATCACCAAACCCAAAATTTGATAGCATATAGAGGAGATAGTTCTAATTGACTGTGTCATATGCTTTTTGGAAATCCAACTTTAAAATCAAGCCCTTTCCTCTTGATTTTTTCCACCAATCCACCATCTCATTAGCTATCAGTACACCATCCAGGATGTTCCTACCCCTAGAAATGCAAATTGAGCATCATCTATAACAACATGAAGCACTTTTTCAACCTATTAGCAAGCACTTTGGATAGAATTTTGTAAGTGGAATTTATAAGACTAATAAACCTGTAGTCTTGAATTCCTAGGGGATAGTCTTTTTTAGGGACCAATGTAATAAATGAGCTATTTAAGCCCCCCACCAAACTACTGTTAACAAAAAAACTCCTTCATAAACATGATGATATCATTCTTCATAAATTTCCACCCTTTCTTATAACAAGTCATGTTAAACCCATCCGGCCCCGGAGCCTTATTCCCATCACAGTCTGCCACTGCTGCCCAAATTTCATGTTCAGAAAATTCCACATCCAAGCTTTTGAAATGCTGGCTCTGTGTAATCACATTAAAAGGGCCCAAAAGCTTAGGTCTATATGTCCATCCCTCATAAAAAGATTAACCTGAAGTGATCATACACAGCTTCTTTAACCTCCAAAAGTTCCTTCACTAATTCGCCATTCACTGACATGGAATCAATGGCATTGGTGTTCTGCTTATTAGTAGCTATGATGTGGAAAAATTTTGTATTTTTATCACCCTTAAGATTCCAGTTCAACCTTGACTTCTGCAACCAAATTCTTTCCATTATCTTTCTGAGCTTCCACACTTCACCCCACACCTCTCTTCGCCTTTTACCTTCAACCTCATCCAGATCTCTACTCTCAACAATTAGATCTATGGCATGCAAATTCTCTTCAGCTTGCTTCAGTTTAGAATCCATATTCCCAAACACTTCAGAGTTCCACTGCCGTAGAGATTGTTTAAGTGCCTGCAACTTAATCTTTAGTTTGTAACCTACCCATCCATCCACCTGAGTACCCTCCCACACTTTCTTCACCTGATTTAGAAAAGAGGGATGAGATGCCCCAGCATTTATGAATCTAAAAGGCTTTGGGCCCCAGTTTCTATCATCTTCTATTAGAATAATTGGACAATGGTTTGAGATGAATCTATGAAGACCCCAAAGTTTGAACCTAAACCAGACCAACCATTCTGGCCCAACAAGAAACCTGTCCAACCTGCTCCATCTCTCACCTTCCAAAGAATTACACCAAGTAAATTTCCTTTCCAACATAGGGAAGTCCATAAGTTCCAGACAACTTATGAAATTACAAAAATCTACCATTCCCTTGTCCCTTCTTATACAAACCTTCCTTTCATCTATTGATTTGATTTCATTAAAGTCCCCCCCTATACACCACGGTTTGGGGAAGACAACCTTAAGATTGATCAAAGAGACCCATAAGCTTCTCCTAGCACTCACATCATTAAGGGCATACACATTCACAATCACACAATTCAGGCTATTAAATAGGGTACTTGATAGAATGATGAAGCTCCTATTGCAACAACAGTCAGCTAGAGAAAAGACTTCAGGCTTCCACACACATAACAGGCCTCCAGCACTCCCATCAGCATCCACATTCATGTAAGCAACTTGGTCATAAGGCCAGATAGACTTCACACACTGATTTGAAATGTTTGCCCTTTTTGTTTCTTGCAACATCACCATATCCACTTTTCTTTCTTTGATAACTGCTTTGATTCTCTTTTTCTTCTCAGGCCTACCAAGCCCTCTAATATTCCAAGAAAGAAGCTTCATAAGAATTTACTATCTACTCTTGAGCAGCCCTTGATGCTGATCTAAACCCTTGCACCATCACTCCTAACAGCAGCCTGTTCCATGTCATTCTTCTTCATTTCAATTATTTTCCTCATAGCTTCATCATCTTTTCCTTCAAAATCAACGCCCAGACTTTGTCCAACTCGAATTGTAGCTTGAGCCTCCTTTAATAACATATCATGTTTGCTTGATCGACTAGTCTGAGATAGTGAAGAATAAATTGCAGCTGTCGCTGCTCTGAAGATGGCCCCCCTTTGAAATCCCCTTTTCATCACTATTTTCCTCTGATTTCTCCGACCCTTTCCTTTACTCTCCTTGCCTACTAATCTCTTACTAGGTGTAGTATCTTGATTGCTTTGGCTATCTTCTTCAGCACTGTCTTCAGCAATGCCTTTACCATTCTCTACCTGGGTATGAACATGTGTTGGATCCAGAGGCTCAGCAAATCTACTATAGCTAGGGCCCAGCCTATTTGACTTAGACTTGTCCCTGTTTTGTTCATTCAGTAGGCCATCAAACTGGGCTTGATCAAAGACAACTTCTAAATTAATACTGGGTTTTGAAGGCCCATTTCCACTTAAACTTCACATAAGCCTATCAGGGCCCAAGCCACCTTCAATTCTTCCACTTTCTGTAGTTACTCTCTGTCATTTCTTTGTGATTGCTACCAACAGTCCACCTTGGTCTATATTGACCTCATCATTTTGACTTTTACTAGCAATACACTCAACTGAGGTGTTATGCATGCTTCCCTTGAGCCTCGTGTACTGACCTTTTTTTACTCTAGGTCCCATAATGCTGCAGGTCTCATTTACGACAGAGACGACAAAAAGGATTCAAGAGCTCTTGGTGGAGGCCGTTCCTGGCGAGTATTAGGGTTGAATGCAAGAGCTTGAGGCCAGGGTTTTCATCACATAATGCAACTGCACCATTATTGTCTGGCTCGGGAAATTGCGAGGTTTAAGATATTTTTTTGAAGATAGATGTTACAGATTCAGAAAAAAATATTTAGAAAGTAGCTTTTAGTTATTTAAGTTTTTTTTTCTTTTTTTACTCACTCTTATGTTTTTAAGAACAAAATTTCTTCAAAAACATGGTGACCGCATGAAATTTTTTTTTTTTTTTTGTTAATGTAAATTGTAAATTGTGTAAATTACCACACCACCAACTCCACCTACCATCTCCACTACCACCACTCACCTACCTCACCTACTCCCAAATCCTCTCCTATATAATAGCTTGTAATATACAAAATATATACAACAATCTTGTAATACATCAATCAATAAATACACAATTTATTCTCTCTTATTCTATCAATTTATCTTACATGGTATCAGAGCTACGTTAAGAACCTATTCATTCTGCTTCACCGGCGGGCGGAGCCTCACCTTGACCGCCTGCCGGGGGATCTGGTTCATCATCATAACTACTATATGCATCTCTCTCTCTCTCTGTCTCATAACAGCAATGGCACTCTTCTTCAAAGCCATCTCAAGATCCACCTCCAAAACCCTCCTCCATCTCAGCCGCCGCTGCCTGTCCTCAACCGCAAGACCCAGATGCAAACCCACCATCTCCAAGACGGTCACAGCAGCGACAGCGGTGGCAATCACCGCCAACAAGGGTGTTGAGGGCGGCGGCGCCACCAGTAGCATATCCGAGTCCTTGATAGAGACACTACCCGGGTGGCGCGTGGATGATTTTCTCGATTCCTCTTCTCCTCCCTCGTTCGGTATCTATAAGACTGTTGTTGATGAAGTTATGCCGTTTTGCTATGCGGATCTGGAGAGCAATCTGGGTTCATTTTCTTCCCCAAATAATGTAGGGATTTGGGTTCCTCAAGCTCCACCGCCTCAATATCCTCATCAATACTCTTCTCCAAACACATCTCTACTTTCGGATAACAAACTCCCTGCCTCGTTCTCATCTCTCTCTATATATATACAATTATATATATATATATGATTATATGTATATGTGAGTATGGTGTTTTTGATTTGTGTCCAGAGATATCAGAGAAAGCAAAGCAGACACAAACCCAGCTCTCTTCTCTCTCTCTAGATTTCTAGGCTACTCTCTCTCACACAATACTCACCCACGGCACTCACAGCAGACACACAAGACACACACCCACGGGATTGACAGACACACATGTGATGAAAACATTTTTTTTTTCTTTTTAAATCCACCCACTCCCTCTCTCTCTCTCTCCCTTTAAACCCTCTCTTTTCCTTTCTTTTTCTTTTACTATTGCCATCCACTACCTTTTGTTTTTCAAATCACGCCACCACTTTTTTTTTTTATTCGTTTTCTTCTTCTCCTCATCCTCCTCATATATTCCGGATTAGCGTTTTATTATTATTATTTTTTTACTTTCCACCCACCGAGTCACATTACTATCTTTTTATTCTTATTATTATCAAAAAAAAAAAAAACACAAAACACAAAAACAACAGAAATCAGAAGAAGCAGACCGACCGCACACCGCTGTTTATTTTATCACCCATCACCAATATTTTTTTTTTTTCTCTCTTGCTTGTTTTCTTTTTTTATTTTTTATCAACAACACACACACGCAACTAACACAACAACATGTCACAACCTTGTCCATTATTCATATCAGGGATCAACCGCCGATCACACTTTCACCATTAAAAAAAAAAAAACAAAAAAAAAAAAAAAACAAAACAAAACAAAAAAAAAACAAAAAAAAAACAAAACGAAACCACATTCCACAGGTTGGGGATTTTGCTTCTCTACTCTGCCGCGTCTTTCTTCTTGCCTCCGTCCTGGCGCCCTTGGCTGTTGCCTCCTTGTCCCACTCCACGGGCATTGATCACACCCCGCTCAACTCCACTTCAGCTATGCGGCCCTCCAAATCGGAACATCACGGTGGCCTTCCGCTTCAGCTCCTTGTTTCTGCCCTAGCATGCCTTATCTCTGCTCCCGCATCCTTATACATGCGTTGGAGGCAGAGCAGCTGGAGAGTTAACTGCTGGCACCTCATTTGGCCCTACTCTGCAGCCGGTTCGACAAGTTTGTCACCGCAGCTGGTTTCCCACATGACTTTCAATGTATGTATGTTGCTTCCACAGCCGACTGCACTTGCCAGTCTGCTCCACAAGACCGCATCGGAAAAGTTCCAACGGAGCAAAACCCTGGGGCGCTTGGTTGAGGTTCCAGTGCCACCGCACCAGTTTTCTCTCTTGTTGACTCGTTGAGGTCGGGAAAGAGAGTAAGCAGAGGGCGGGACGAAGAGGCCATTTTCTGGGCAACAGAGTGTTACAGAATATTACAGAGTTTCTCTCTCAGAACACGAATCTCTCAGAACACGATTTTTTTTCATTTTTTTTTTTTTTTTTTTTTTTTTTGTCTCAGTCTCTGCCTCAGCCTCTGCCTTCGTCTTGGTTATATAGCCAAAGCAGGCACGCACATCGCGCGCCTCTTGACGCCAGACAAACGGACACGCCAGCCAAGGCACTCACGTGCCTCGCCATCATATCTGGCACGCCTTTTGATGGCACGCCTTTTGACAGATTGGGCACGCCTTTTGACAGATTGGGCACACCTTTTGAGGGCATGACTTTTGAGGGCTCGATATCTACATCCATGTATATTTTTTGGGCAGCCTATATACACACTCATACAATGTCTTCTACACCGGTCAGCTTCTACATCGGTCCGACATGACCCCATAAACTGTCCCGACATTGATTCCGGTCAGCTTCTACATCGGTCCGACATGACCCCGTAAACTATCTTCTACAATGGTCCGACATGACCCCATAAACTGTCTGCTATATCGGTCTGACACGACCACACAGTGTCTGCTACAACGGTCCGACATGACCCCGTAAACTGTCTGCTACATCGGTCCGACATGACCCCATAAACTGTCTGCTACATCGGTCCAGACATTATCTTCTCCAACGGTGTGACACGACCATCAGTGTCTCCTACAACGGTCTGACACGACCATACCGTGTCTCCTATCCTGTTTTATTTTCTTTATCAGTTTACTTTTCTGTTTTGTTACACTCTCCAAACTCAAGTTGGCTAGTACCTATCCTCCTTGAGTTTGAGGGGGCTGTTAATGTAAATTGTAAATTGTGTAAATTACCACACCACCAACTCCACCTACCATCTCCACTACCACCACTCACCTACCTCACCTACTCCCAAATCCTCTCCTATATAATAGCTTGTAATATACAAAATATATACAACAATCTTGTAATACATCAATCAATAAATACACAATTTATTCTCTCTTATTCTATCAATTTATCTTACATTTTTAATGTTCTTTTCACATTGTTTTGATTGGAGGACAGTAAATTTCAGTTGTTCTGCTGGTAATTGTTCATGTTCTGTTCAAGTAATAAAATTTCATAAATCATGTATTTTAAGGTAATTTTAAAAAAATAAAAATTTAAGACAAATTGCACCCATATTTTCTGTAATTTGTCTCTTATATCAATTTGATCTTTATAATTCCAATTGTATTAATTATATCCTTATTTTTATTTTATTTTTATATATATTGTATCTAATTAAACCAATTGATAATGTCATGGGCAAATTACACAAAATTAATACAATGTACCTTTTCATCTTCTAAAGTTTTTAATCTAATTCTTAAGCCATGTTGACAGAAAAGGTGCATAGTGTCATATTTATTGCAAAAATACCTTTTAAAAATCTATTTTTTGTCAATTTTGTTAACAAAATTGAGACATAATGGTTATAATGAAAATTTTTATAAGGTAAAAGGTACATTGTATTAATTTTTCATTGAAAGGATAAAGTGAAAAGTGAAAAACGATAATAATTGAAGGATGTAAAAAATAATTTACCCTAACATCTTTTTAAAACTTTAGACTAAAATCAAATGGTAGTCTATTATTCTTCTCGAATTGATTTAGCAGTTGGAATTCAAATTTTTTTTTTTTTTTTGGTGAATGTACCAATTTGCTTAGGAGTTTTATTCAATTTCTTAATGGGTATTATCAATTGAACTAAAGACACAATGAGTAAAATAAAAAGATAAAATTAAAATTATCTAAACTAAATTAATACAATAGACAAATTGCAAAAACTACAAATATAATTTATGGATAATGTTAGGGATAACGAATTTTCTATCAAATAAATGAGCAAATGTCTCACATGTGTAGGGTCCATAATTTTGTGGACTATGTGAGACATTTAGTTATTTATTTGATAGAAAATTTGAACCTACAATATTTTTCATAATTTATTCAAAAAAAAAAGAAAAACTATGTTACGAAGGAAACCCAATAAATTTCTTAATTCTTTGCATCAATCATGCCATTATGAGAAGTTAGTGGGTCTCGGTATAGTTAATATCTTGTTTGGTAGGAAAAATTATTATATAGCTTCGTGTCATATCTTACATGGTATGCTTTTATAATTTTATTTGTTATATACTCATTTTTTATTTTATTTTTTCTCCTATGTATTAGGGGATCGGGTTTCCCCGACCCCGAACATTCCCCGGCCAAAAAAAAAAAAAAACCTTCAGAAAATACAACAACAACTGTGTAAATCAGATCTGAACTTTGTGTAGAGTCCACCAAATCAAATCCAATACAGAGAATATAATCAATGGAATATTCAAGAAATTAACAAAGAATATAAATTACATTAGTGTGTTTATATGTACACACCATAACACATTTATTTCCTTTGGTGGACCAAAACAAAAAATTGAAAATATAGCAACTTCAGTTGGAAGATATAATAATTTCTCGTAGGGTTTATTTGTAGTGACTTGTCAATTTGGACTTATCAGTTTGAAAACATATTATTTTAATAATTTTTTTAGCTTTTTTATTAAAATATAAGGTAAAAAAATTAGTATATTTAGGATATTATTGGGCTTTTTACAAAAAAAAAAAAAAGAAAAAAAAAGGAAATATTTGACTTTTTTTTTTTTTTGGTATAATTTGTTAGTTTTTTTTTTGGTTGTACTCTCAGTATTGTTCTAGTATCATTGTAATTACACTTTGACCCACTAAATTATGGCATGCTTTTCACTTTAGTCCTTATTAAACCAATTTTTTTCCCAATTCGATTTCTAAAATTTTAATTTTTCCCATTTTGAGCTATTTGCCAACGACCTTTACAAACAAGTGATGAAAAATGAAATGTGACACCCATATCCAGTAAATTAATAAATTAAAAATATTGGGTGAATTACACTTTGGCCCTTGCAATGTAACCCATTTTTTACTTCTGTTCTTGGACTAAATATATTTTTCGTGTGATCTCTAAACATTTTTAAAAAATTCATTTTAGTCAAATTTCTAACTGTGTTTGCGTATTTGAGTGTAACATTTAACGCATGCAAATGCAAAACCAATATTAATACTGTTAGAAAAAACAAAATCAACAAATTGGCCTAATGGATATAATTTGAGATCTGATTAAAAAAGCTTAACATTAAAAGTTGATCGAACAATAAAAATTAAGCATAAGATTTAAAATTTTGAATTTGGATTATTTTAAAGACATCAAAATTAATCAACATATTTACAAACTGGTTGATAAGTGAACTCGAAAGTACTACTACTATATGTTAACTTCAAGTCAATGCACTTATTATAAAATGCATCATCATATTTATTAACTACTATAATATTTCACCACTAGGAAGGATTGTTCATCTTTTTGATTGCTCGCTAACAATAAATAAAAATAAAATAAAATTTAAATTAAGAAGGGACAAAATAACAAGCGAAGTAAAACTTCTTTGTGATTTTCATGTTTCCAATCGCACCACTTAAGATCATCTTCCTAGGTTAACATTTCCCACTTAAAATAGTTAATTTTTTTGTTGATTTTTAAAATTGACTTATTTTTTATACCTATTTTGTTTATAATATTTTTTAAAAAGTTTGATTCAAAATATTTTACTTTTTAATTTCTGAAAAAAATTCCAGTAAATTAAAATAAACCAATTTTAAAGAGTTCATTTTTAAAAAAAATAAAATTTAACTTATTTTTGCTTTTAATAAACTTTCTTATAAATTTTGCCAAGTGAACCATTGTAAATGAACAACAATAATTGAGACCCTCATATTTGGGAATCCTCATGACCTCCAAAATAATCTGAATCACTCATGTGAGACAAATAGGAAATAAATAAATAAATATATGAGTAGTCCACATCATTTTGAAAGTTTGAGTCTCAATTATTTTTGGTAAATGAATTTGTAGTACACCAATGTAAAGACATGTGACCAAATGTATGATTTGAGGAAAAAAAATTAGTCTGATTTTTTATCTTTCAAATTAGTTTCGTTTAAGAAGAATTTTTTGACTTTTTTATGAAAGAAAAAATAAAATAACTATGACCTCTTTTAAGAAATAAGTTAAAAGTCACCTCCTAACTTTTAACACATTTTGAGTCATATTATCTCTTACATTTTTTATACGTTTTTTCAAAAAAAGTCTAAAAAGGTCAAAAGATAAGCTTTTGACTATCTTTCCAAAACACCTCTATGTTTTGAATATAACATTTAGTTTTATTGACTAATTTAATTTTTTTTCTCTTTTTATGTTTTTTAATTTCAATTTAAACCCACCTCACTGGTCAAATGGGGACAAAATTAGTGGAATTATGCTGTCCGAACATATTCTATTTTTTTATTAAAAAATTATACATAAGTGAGAATTGAACAAAATGTAATTGAAAAAAAAATACTATTCTAATTAAAAATTCAATAATACTAATTATTTGAATAATTATTGAGAATTTTTATAGGATCAGTCATATCACAAACTTTTAATCTATAACGTACATTTCCTTTTCGTAATAATTTCTGAAGTACCAATCTAAAATAGGTATCGTTTTTCTTAAATTTTTATATAAAAGTATCTCATTAATTGACCTGATATATAATAATAAAATTTTGAATCGAACCCAATAAAATAACATGACGAAAAGCCAAATTAATATAAATATTTTATAAATTTTAAAAGTAATATTAATCAAAATTAAAAATGTGGAAAAAATTTCATTGCGTTGATCGCGCCAGAACGAGCACGACAATGTGACCTGTGAAAGAAATATGAGGTGGCGGGAATCTAGAGGTCAATTCTTTGGAAGTCTCGTGGTGGGTCCACATCAGTCCAATCACATTGTTTGAAATAAAACAATTCCATTGGCTACACAAAAATATCAACCGCATCGAATCCAAACTCTTTCGGTTCCCTTGTCTCTGCCGACTCTCTCTCTCTCTGTATTGCTTTGTCTGTGTGTGTACTGAAAAAAATCTTCTATAACGAATGGCAGATCAGTCAACGCCAGTCACAGGTTACCCTGCCGCAGGGTATCCTCACCCTCCGCCGCAATCCGGCAACAACACTAACGGCTACCCCCCCGCCGGCGCCTCCTACCCCTACGCCGCTCCACCTCCTCAAGCCGCGTATTACTACGCGCAGCCCTACCCCGACCCACGCGCCACCTTCCTCCGCCGCCTCTTCGGCATTCTAATCGCCTCCTTCATCATCGCCGCCACCATCGCCTTCATCGTCTGGCTCATCCTCCGCCCTCGCCTCCCGGAATTCCAGGTCGACTCTCTCTCTCTCTCCAATTTCAGTCTTTCTTCTTCCTCGATCTCCGCCAATTGGGACGTCGGCTTCACCGCCCGGAACCCTAACCACAAGATCACTCTCTACTACGACGACATCTCCGCCACCGTCTTCTGCGGAGAGCAGCGTCTCTCCGATACCGCCGTCGGGCCGTTCGTCCAAGGGACGAGGAATGAGACCACGGTTAGGGCTACTTTCGCGGCAAACTCAGCGTATGTGACCAAGGAGGTCGTGGATGGTATCAACAGCGATCGGTCGAGTCGAGGGATTGTCAATTTCAATGTTGAAATGAAGGCTAGGGTTAGGTATAAGGCCGGTGCGTGGCGGGCTCGACAGCGGTTCTTGAGAATTTTTTGCCAACAATTATCGGTCGGGGTTTCGAAGAATAGCGTCGGAGGGACTTTGATTGGTGGACCGAGGCAGTGCAAGGTTGTTATGTGAGTGAATTTTAAGTATTTTTTTAATTTTATTTTTATCATCATCTTTGTTCTAAATAATATTATGTTTTTATAGATTTAAAGTTGAGTTTGAGAATTTGTGGTGTTTATAGTGTTCATACACAAAGTTTTAGGTTTTATATTGATTAATCAACTTATGTACAGCTTTTGTGGTTTCAATTTGTTGGCTGATGATGCTCTGATTAAATTTTTTTGGCTAGAATAATATTAATTGATTCAATATGTTTGGGATTTTGATTTGTTTGAGGTAAGTCGTTGCAACTAATTTTTGCACCATATTTGTCGGTTTTTTGTCAACTACTTCACGAAAGCATAATGGATCTAGTTTGTCATTAAGGCATAATCGAGAATGTAGTTTGCATTTACATGTATGGTAGAGGGCCCCATTGGATTTTGCATAGCATATGATGTGGAATTTTTCCTTCTGTTTGTTATGAGTTCTCATATAGATTTAATGATGTGGGTATCTTTTGCATTCTTTCAATGTTTGTTCCCTCGGAGAGTGAAACCAGTTTATGGGTCCAGATGTCGCCTATAATGGGATGCACATGGATGTATCCTAGAATTGGAGAGGTTCCATTGCATTTTGTAACGCAGGAGATGCAGTTTCATTTTCTAGAGTAGGTATGAAAACCAGATATTTAACCATGTGTTATTGAATGAAATAGGCCTCTGGATCTATTAGTATGGTATTCTTTTACTACCTCAATGCTGGATGTGTGCCGTTTTCGTTAATGCCTCACTCAATATGAGAAGATGGATTCCTATCTCAAATTGTTGTGTGAAACATGATAAAAACTAATGCGTTTGTGGATTCCTTCAGGCCGTAGAATTAAAATTTCTATTAAACATTTCAATGGTGATTTGGTAAATAGTTACTTAAGCCGAGCTGTGGCTATAATTGCGCATTTTATGGCCTTGTTGTTTATTGAGTTTGTTTGGTCGTGTCATATTCCTAGATTTGGTTTTTCTATAATAACCAAAAATATTCTATAGTTGCCTTACATGGGGAGGTAGGGATTGTTAATAAATTGTAGCTGCTAAAATTCGAAGTTTAGAATCCTTTCTTTCTTTCTTGTTTCTTTTTTCTTTTTTTCATAAGGATCTTTGCCAAAGCGAGAGAGATTAGGTCTTTATAGTTTTCAGGTATTTCTTTTTAGATGCATTGCCTGCCTTGAACAACCATGTGGACATGCAACTGATGGGATCCGTAGAAGGAAAGAAATGTTTGCCATAATTGGAAATGGAGGATTGGATCCACCACTACAACTAATATACGTGTCAAAAATGAGTTTTTGTTAACCAAGATATTTAGTTTGAGAAAAGTCCAGAAAAAGCTATGAGAAACATGGTTATAAATTGCAGTATCAGTCAATGTAATGGTTGCAGTCATTGTTGTCAACTTGTGAATCGAATCATGAATTGTTTTGCTCTTAAATAGTGAATCATGAATTATAAGATTCATTTTATTTAATATAATATATTTTATATATTTATATACATATTAAAATTCATTCATAGTGTTTAAAATGATGGAAATTTCAATATAATTAAATTTTATATATTTATATATACATATAACATCATGTATATCAATATAACTAATTGATTTCTTCTATATATCTTGATAGTTTGACGAAAACGACATTGTTTCATGCATTATGTAAGCAAAAACAAAAATAGAACTGAATCGCAGCAAATTGTAGTGAATCATAAATTGAATCGCATAATTCACATAATTTCCTATTCAACAGCACGATTCGTTTCTGTTAAAACTCATATCGAATCGTGAATTATATGATTCTAACAACCATGGTTGCGGTAGCATGTAATGGGTATCGGGACTACCTGCCAATGTGCAACAGAAATCAAAAACTGAAGATGTGATTCTTTTTTCAAACACTAGAAAATGCCAAAAATCTCATCTATGAGCGTGTTCAAACCTAATTTATCACAAATTGAATGTTTATAGTGCTTTATAATCAACATTATAGCACCTAAAAACAAGTTTTGTAACATAATATTTAACTTTATGTTGCTATTAACGCCAATTAATTAATTTGAATGAATTAATAATATTCAAGCAATCCCCCATATCGTTAAATCACAGTAAACATTTCTACCTCTCCACTAGCCAAATCAACCTTTTAACCTTTTTGAGAATTTAAGGCCATTATCATCAAGTTCAAACGAAAACCAGAATGAGATGATCTCTTTGAAATTTGATTTACCACCTAAGAAACACAAGACATGGTGATTTCCAAAAAAATTGGATACGGACATGGAGTCAATATGAAGAAAAAAAATTTGTCATATATTTTTATTTGCTATATATGTGAATATAAATTTAGGGGGCACAAATATGAGAGGCAGCAATGTACAAGCAGGTGTATTATTGTTTTTATTCACTTTCATCTCTCTTTGTTTCCACATATTTTTGTTTGACCCTAAATCAGTTTCTAAAAAAATAAACCACAAATGTATCCTGGCCTGTCTCCAAACACAGTATGAGCATGCCCATGATCCTAGGACTTCTTAACACTTCTATGTTTTTGTTATTAAATTTATTTAATTCAGGAGAGTATTTTGGTATTGATATCTCAAACTATATGAAAGTGTGATTTCTAAACATGTTGTTTTGAAAGCGTGTTTAGTAACTACATTTTTAGAATTTTGATTTTTAAGTAATATCAGTTAGATTTGACAAAGAAATCTACTAATATTCAAAGCCTAGAGGAAAAGTGTTTGTTAAACCACTTTTTCCAGACTTTCAACTGAGTACTAAATAGCATGGTTGTTAAGCATGTTTTTAGAAAACATGTTTAACGACCATACTTTCACATAGTTTGGAAATAAAGTTTAAAAGTGCGTAGTTGTTTAAATAAACTTCATGAAAAAACATACAATTGTTAAAGAGACGAAGTCCTAGATTTGGAAAGGTTCCATCGTATCTTGTGTGCGATGTTTTAAAATTTCATTATCTAGAATGGGTAATTAAAGAAGAATAGAGATTAGCTATGGTCACATCTGATGGTATAAAAGTTTATTAGATTTTATAGGGGATGTGTGTTTCTACTGTCATTAGTAATATGCTTGTCATTCACTTCAGTAGCTCTTGGATGATAACACATTCCTATTGTTCAAATGCTCTCTAAAATACAATAGGCCCATTTAAATGTTAAATATTTATTTGTGTTCAAAAATGTTTGTTAGTTACTTAAATGAGATTGCATAAATTCATATATTTATATATATAATCTTTCTTAGTTATTTATTTGGTAAAATCAAATGATATCCTTAGGATAGGTTGGTGGTTGACCCCCTTTTCTGTGGAGAGATGAGGAAGGCCAATGAGTGATGGTCAGATGTGGGTTCCTTCCATTTCGTAGTGTGAGGGCCACCATTCGGGGATGAGGTGGTTTTGGGTATTACAGGACATTTTGTGCAGCATCGTAATTGTTGGTGGGCTCCTTTCGAGATGGTTGACGACAATAAGTTGTGTTCTGTGGTTGCAGATTGTGTAAATTATATATAGTCTTGAGGGTCATTCAAAAACTACATAGAGGTTGGAGTTTCCAAAACAGGAAGAGATGGGGGAAGTAAAGGAGGATGTGGAAATTTTGGAATATTTGGGGAAGGGGGGAATGCGGTTTCTCCTGTGTGCTTGTCTCCTTTGCTTTGTTTCCTCCGAGTGGAATGAACAAGTAGAGTTTTGGTTAGTAACACTGTCGGAAATGGAAATTGATGACTGAAGCTGAGTAAGCTCCATATCAGATAATGACATAGGAAAGGAAGGGTAATGTAGGGGTACATAAGTGCATGTTCCAAATGCAATAGTGGTAAAGTTGGGGTTCTTCTTGTTTGTGTGGGAAGAAGAGGAGTTGGTACATACTGCTGGGAAGGATTGCCTTGAGCAGTTACAATCAGGAGGAGAGGTTAATGCTAAGAAGCTTGTTAGTGCTTTTTTCTTTTCATGGAAGAGTTTCAGATCAGCATCTAAACATCACATTTATTGTTACTATTGATATAGCTGAAGTAGATAGAATCAGTATAATAACTTGAGTAAAGCCTTATGTGTAGTGCATTATAGTAGTTGGGAATGATGTTTTGTTCGGTTGTACTAGCGGTGATGGTCTAGTTTTTTGTAGTTTATCTTTTTTTGGTTGTGCCCCCTTGGTGATTTCTCAATACATTTTTCTTTTTCCAATAAATAAAAAATAAAAAACTTAGGATACATTCCTAAAGTTGATAGGAATAATTTATGAGCTTGAAGAAGTGTACAGTTCTCTTTGTAGTTAATCTCTTTATACCTCAGTCATTAACTATGTCCTCATCTACCACGACAAAAGACAAAAAAATGAGAATGAAAGAAGATTGTTGTTGAAACATTATCTACACTCTGGAGCACTGAAGTCGTAGATTTGGAAAGACCTATTATATCTTGGTTACAATGAACTAAAATTTGATTATCTGAGAAGTGTAATTGAAGAATAATGGCGATTCACTGATTCAGTTATATCTGATGGTATAAAATAGTCTTTTAGATATATTTATGTTGTGATGTTTTGTGTTTCTACCATCATTTGTGATATGCTTGTCATTAACATCAATAGCGCAAGGTAAATAACACATTCCTATTTTTGAATGCTCTCGACATAAAATACAATAGGACCATTTAAAAGTTAAATGTTCAACTGTGTCCTAAAATATTAGCTACTTAAATGGGGTTGCATAATTCATATATATATATATATATATATAATATTTCTTATTTCTTTTTGTGGTAACATCAGAAGATATCGTGAGGATAGGTTCCTAAAGGTGATGGGAGTTGTTTTAAGCTTGAAATTGCAAGAAATGTACAGTTCTTTTTAGTTTTATAAGGAGTTTAATTCGCAAAAAGTAGAAAAGGTTGGGTCTTTCCTTTATTGGTTTTCTCATTTCATTTTGGTTAAATAAGGAATTTTTTATGCAAAAATAGGTTAGATCTTTCCAATTTTTAGCTTTTTTTGTTTTTATTTTTAATATTCAATTATGTTGCACTTGTGGAATCCTTTAAAGCTAAGGTCAAGATATCTGACCTCTAGCCTCTTTATATTTTAGCTTTCATGTTCTTAGTAGGATTTATTGTGGAACAATCATGTGCTAATGCGACTGATGGGATTCTTTGAAACTATGTTTGAGATATCTTATGTGCATTTTAGCATATCAAGCCTCACGGCTTTCATCTAAAATAACATTTCTTAGCATGGTTGCATGGAAAATGATTTTAACGACTTCCCTCTGCCAATGTTAAGAAAAAGTCATGGTAAAACATTTGATTAAACTGTTGTGCAAAATGATGTCAACAAAAAAATCCTTTTGAATTTCTCTTATCTGAGTAAACATCATAACAAGAAATTTTAGAATTTGTACTGGTGCGAACTGGTTTAGACTAGGCATTGCTTAGTTAAGTTGACCTTTTGGTGGCATAAATGATTCCGAATAGGCGATTAGTTCAATAACCAATCTTCCTGATGTAATTTGTCATTGAAGATGGGTTGATGCTTCTGTTTTGCCCCCCCTGAGAAATTTTGATTGGTCAATTGAGTGATTCTTTTGCCCTGTTCTATTATTAAGGTTGATTGAAGAAGCCAACTTGGGTATAGTTAATTTGTGGTACAAAACAATAGAGGAAAGGTCTAGAGAACAATTGGAGATTGCTCCTATTATTTGCTTTTAGATATATTTGCGACTGAACTCTTTGTTACTATTTTCTCTGATATCCTAGAAGAAGAAGAAGAAGAAGAAGAAGAAGAAGTATGATACTTGTTGTTTCTGCATTTTTTTGTGGATCTACCTTCATTTTAACAATAGATATCTGTATCTTGAGGACCACCCATTTGCTAAGATAGCAGCTTCATCCTTCGCACCCTTTTGGAATTTGAGGTTTGGGCTTGGACTTACTATCCGAAATTTTAGAAGGTTTTTGGAGTGGGTAGTCAGAATGGCGGAAAGAGGATTCATGTTGTGAATAAGATCAAATTCATTTCTAAGGGGATTCTCTTAAATTTCCAGATCATTTCAGATATGAAAATAAAGTTGAGCAAATGCTGGGTGATTTAGATTTTGACTGGAGAGATTAGGGATGTGGCTATCTTGGAGGTTTTTTTTCTTTTTTTTTTCAAAATTATAGCTATCTTGTTTGCCAATCTGGACTGTAAAGCAGGTTTTATTCTCTTTTCTTACATATGGAGATGGAATGCTTTTGGGATTTTCTTTATGTCATGTTTGGATCATGGATTTGGCTAGGGAAAGGTAAAGGGAAATTGGAGCAAAAACATGATCCAATGATGAGGTCCGTATAATTCAGTTTCTAGAATTTTTATTTTTTATTTTTTCTGCATTCATCGTTTTTATTAAGTCCCAATTCAATCTTCGTTGGTAAGAGGGATCGGTTGTAAAGGTTTTAGTAGCTGTTTTTTCTGATTCTTGTATTTTATTGATTCTTTACTTCCTTCTTGTGAGTCTCTCATCCACTATTTATTTATTTATTTTAATTTATTTTTTTAATGGGGTTTTCCAGCTTAGAATCTCCCTCCAATGAAATGTTGAAGTGTTCATTATTCATTTTACCTTTATTCTATTCACTTTCTGATTTTGTCTTCTCTGACCTTTGATTGTTTGTTGAGTAGAAGCTTCGTACTTAAGCTTGATACAGAATTTAAGAGAGGTAAATGTTAAATTTCAAGATTTTAAGATCTTCTTGTGACTTTATACAACAATAAGGTGAATTATTTTTTTTATTTTTTATTTTTTATTTTATTTTGAAAAAGAGAAAGTTCAAAGGAAAACTTGTGGGGCTTTAGGATATTCCAAGTTTGTGTGGCTTTAAAAAGCCTTTTTGAAAGAAAAAAAACCTACAAAGGTGAGGGGATAGAGGAAAGAGGATAGATATAAAGAAGGAAATGATAGGATTTTAAGGTGGGGATCGTATCTATGGCTTCTCAGGCCCCACCCATGTCATGGAACTTTGCTATACTTGAATTTACATGTATTAGTATATATTTTAGCAGTTTTGTTACATAATCAGAAAAATTATTTAAAATTGAAATATATGGACAAGATTTATTAGTATGACTTACAACATGCTAATTTTAAATCTACATTCTACCCTCTACTTTTTGGGTAAAATTCTTGTTAATTTTTTTTTTTTTTAGTAGAATTATGATTACTTTAGAGGAAGCAGCTCAAATGGAATTTTGCTTTAAGAGAGTAATAATTTGGATGAGTTAGAATCGGTAGTTACATGAAATTTCAGCGAAAGATCGAATTTTGTTCTTTTAACTCTATATCTGTTTTGTCTATGTTAGTTTCTTCTCTTTTTTTTTTAAATTGAGTTTAGCTCAAGTGGTTCTACCTCTAGATTTCTAAGGGAGCTGTTTGAAGCTCGAGCTCAAGAAAAAGCTTTAAATACCCATTAGTAATAATCTAACTTACTAATGTTTAGATAAAATAGAGAGAATAAGAATACTTATGCAAAATAGTCCACTTCAAAACTCAATTTAGATTGTAGTTAGATTTCGGATTTTGGAAGAAATTAATGGAGGAAAACAAAACAAAACAAAAGGAAAAAAAGAAAAAAAAAAAAAGAGATTACTGTTGTGTTCCTTTTTCTGTTCTCTTTACAAATTTCATTCAAATTTGTAAAAGTAGGAGTATGAACTGCTTGTTCATTGTTTTGTTGCCAAGACATTGATGTGAAGTTATCTAAATTATGAAAACATCAGAGACAAAGACATGACTAGAGAGGAAATTTGCTTTGGAAAGTTGACGTCTTCCAAAAGCATGATTGTCCATTTGTGTAAAATGTTTCCCTTCAAAGCCAATGCACAAACCACTAATCCATCTCCCAGCCCAGTCACAAACCACTAATTCTAAAGTTCATACTGTTCTTTGGCTACAAGACCTCGCAACTAGCATCAACTAGGACCCTTACCATAATCATCCTCTCTTCAATGTTCAAAGAGACTAGTAGAAGATTCTTGGCCTTCATTTGGATGCGAGTTAGTTCTTTAATTTTTTGATTATTTTAACTTAGGGTTAAAAAGTTTCTTTTAGAATAGGTTTTTTGATTTTTGTGAAAGTAAAAATAAAATAATTATGGTGTAGATGTGATATTTTGTCTTATTATTTTTTTAGTCTATTTTATTTTTTGGTGACCATTTTAGCCCAAAATCAACCTACCAAAACAGCCATGGAATAATCTCACCGACAGTAACCATTCATGAAGTGTTTTATTTTTGCAGTTGCAAACAATAAATACAGGGAAACTCTATTTACACATAAAAATAAATAAATAAATAAATTACAATAATATTATGGTATTGTCATTTTTATAAATAAGCACATCTTTGTGGATATATATACATATATATATTTTAAAGTGATAGATCTACATTAAATTATATTATTCTATACAAAAATTATATATGAATTTTATGTTTGTATATAATCAAAATAGAGAGTAGTATTAGTAGGATCTGACTTTTCTTCGTTCCATGATCCAGATGGGAGAATATTGTTTGGGTCCATTGAGCTCACTATGAGTTCCGTTTTAATAATTCAAATATTTTATTTTGTTGAATTCTTTATACATATCATCTATAAAATAAATTTAAGTCAATCCAATAATAGTAACATATTTAATTTGCCTCATTTGTTTCTAAAAAAATAGACATGAAAGTTAAGTGTATTTTTAAATTTTTTTTTTTTTTATAACGAATGCAATAAATTGAGCATTTGGCTAATTTCATTGTTTTTTTTAAAATAATATAAACAAAAAATTAAAAATAAATAGATCAAATAATTAAAATAGAATCTATAATCCTGAATAGCACCTTTCAGATTAATACCAAGTCTGTCCTATCTCAAGTAGTATTAATACACACCCAACTCCAAATTCTCTCCTCCAGACCCCAAGCCCTTTCCACCACCACAACATGACGAAAGGCTGCGACCACATGACGAAAGGCTGCGACCACCACCACTGCGATGACCGGAAAACCCTCTACCCCCGCGTCTTCATCATCCTCATATCCTTCATCGTCCTCATCCTCTTCATAATCCTCCTCATCTACCTCATCCTCCGCCCCACCAAACCCCACTTTACCCTCCTCTCCACCACCATCTACGCCTTCAACGTCACCACCACCCCCACCAACCTCCTCACCTCCACCTTCCAAGTCACCCTCTCCTCCACCAACCCCAACTCTCGCATCGGCATCTACTACGACAAGCTCGACGTCTACGCCGTCTATCGCCGCCAGCAAATTACTCTCCCCACCCTCCTTCCCGCCTCCTACCAGGGCCACGAGGACGTTTCTGTTTGGTCGCCATTTTTGTACGGAAATGCCGTGCCGGTGGCGCCGTACGTGGCGGCGGCGCTGTGCGGAGATGAGGCGGCGGGGACGGTGCTGATTAATGTGAAGGTGGATGGGAGAGTGAGGTGGAAGGTGGGGGATTTCGTCTCAGGGAAGTATCATTTGTATGTGAAGTGTGCTGCTTATATACCGTTTGGCAACAAGAATAGTAATAGTGGGATTGTTATTGGACCTGGGATTAATAAGTACCAGTTGGTCCAAAATTGTCATGTTGATGTTTGAGGAGTTTGTGTTGTGTCTATCTCTTTTTAGTTTTTTATTTTTTTTTATTTTTGAAGTTCTGTGTTTTTTCATTTAAATTTGTAGAATGTATATTTTGCCATAACTTCCCTGCCGGTTTAAAAAACGAATAAAGCTTTGGACCCCCAGTGGGGGTACTGGGGGTCGCTGCCCATTGGTCCAAAAACACTATGTTTTTTTTTTTTTTTTTTTTGAGTTTCCAGCCACCCCAGGCCGACACGTGGCACTGGGGTCACTGGGGGTCACCCCAACTGGGGGTCTGTAGCATTACTGTTAAAAAACGGATGGGTTGCAGAAGGATTAGGCTAGTTTTCAGTTTACAAAGTGGGAATTGTTTAATGCATGAAACTTATCGAATATTTTATCTCCGTTAAAAATTGTATTGATTGGATATTTATAATTACTTGTTCAAATTAAATTTTTGTCAACAATTTATTTTGAAAATTATATATATTTTTTATTGACAGAAATTTAATCTGATCAAGTAGTTATCGATATTCGATTAACGTAATTTTTTACAAGGATAAATTACTCAACGAGTCTTACATATTAAACGGTTCGAATTATTAAAACAATACTTGCGATAAACTCTTATAAATCTAATAATACGCTCTAATTCGATCACAAACTAAAGAGAGCCAGGCCTCATAGTAAATAATTTCTAAAAATGGCTTTAAAATCCTCTAGAGTAAGGCTTCTACGATGATCTTCTACAATGAAAGACAAGAAGTCGACACGTGACCCACGCAGCAAACCAAGGACTGAGATTTAAACTCACCAAAACGACGTCGTTTTGATGAGTAAATTGGAAAAAAACAAAAAAAAAAAAAAGTGAGAGAGAGACAATAAGAGAGAGAGAAAAAGATCCCCAAATCTTTGGCCAATCTCTACCATGACTGGGTTTTCATATTCAAGAAAGTGAACATAATCAAAACAAAAGCCCATCATTGGCCACCTTCCCCACCAGTTCCAGCAACTCTCAATCCCTCTAACGACCCTCCTCCAGTCGTTCTTCTCTTCCAGCAGTCTTTTCCCGCCGCGCCTCCCGTTCCCTCCTTTTCCTCTTCCTTTTTTTCTTTCTTTCTTGCTTTCTTTCTTTTCCTTTCTAGATCTAGACAAAACGTAGAGATGATATATATATATATATATATATATATAAATCAAAACAAACAAATATACAAGCAATTTTATCAAAAAAAAATAATAATTTAAATCACAGAAGTGAGAGAGCAAAAACAGAGTGAGAGAGAGACAAGAACAACAAAACAAAAACAGAGTGAGAGAGAGAAGATGTTATAGTCACTCTACATGTTTGATATAAGGCAGGGTCAATTCAAAATTCAACAACAATATAAGCCTTACAATATAAGAGAGAGCAATATCAGGCCTTATAATGCCTCTGTTTGGGAAGAAGGGTTGAGTTGGGTTTGTGGTTATTTTAGTCAAAAAAAATAAAATGGACTTTTTAACTCAATAAGACAAAATATTACATTCAACCCATAATCATTACATTCTTTATTTCATAAAAAGTCAAAAAGTTCTTTCTAAACGAGACTTTTTAGTCGTAAGCTAAAATAGTCAAAAAATTAAAAAATTAAAAAGTCAATACACTTTCCAAATGAACCCAATGTAAGAGAGAGCAACATCAGGGTCAATGGTTGAATCATCATTGTTTTGGTAAGAGCAAGTCTCGCCTTCTTAAAGCTAAGTCTCTTCCATCTCTGCACCATCATCATATATTAGCCTTAACCCCTTTCTTCCATCCTTACTCCCCGTAGAAATCATAGGAAAATACAAATTTGTTGAAAAAAATTAATTTTGACAAAATTTGACCCAAATTGATGGATTTTGAAATTCCAAGACCTTAGATTATCATATTCGATCTGTAAAGATCAAATTGATAAGCAAAGAGAGAGAGAGGAAAGTGAAAAATGACAATTTTTTTTCACACTAAAGTAATCTCAACTTTTGATTTTATTAATAGAACACATGCCAAGGCTTAAAAACAATAATGATAGATAGTTTAAAAAATTATGGTTTGAATGGATCGAAACACCAAAAATAGCGTCGTTTTGGGTGTAAAACGACGTTGTTTTGACACATTCGAACCATTCGAGCCACAAAAATTTGAGCCACCAAATATTTTTCCCTTAAAAAAATCACTCTAGAGGATCATTCCATTGGATTACTCTAAGAGCATGTTTGTTTTGAGAGATAAGAGGGTGAGATTGGACTATTAGTCCTACCAGACTAATAGTCCATTGTTTGTTTGAAAAATTTTGCTTCGGACTAATAGTCCCACAAATATGGGACTATCCTATCCTATGGGGGGGTGTGGGATAGAAACCATGGGATTGGTATCCCATGGGATTATTTTGTGAAATGTCCATTTTACCCTCCATGCTATTACTCAGTGAACAATTAAAAAATGGTAAAATAGTCTTTTGAACATTTATAAATTATTTTTTTAGTGTTATTAATTTAAAACTATATATTAAATAAAAAATTTAAATTATAAATTATAAATTAAATTTAATTAAAAATAATAAATTATGGCCTTATAAATTAAATTTTTTTAGTGTTGTTAAAAAATTAAATTTACATATTAAATAATTTTTTTTTAAGTATTGAAATTTAATTTATATATTAAATAAAATTATTTTTTTATTGTCGTTATTTAAAATTATATATTAAATAAAAATATAAAATATAAAATATAAATTTAATTTAATTGAAAATAATAAATTAAAAATTGTGGCCTTATAAATTAAATTTTTTTAGTGTTGTTAAATTATAAATTATAGATTATAAGGGTAAAATAGTCTTTTGAACATTTATCCTTATCCAGTCCGTCTAACCAAACATTGGATTTACTGAAAATAGTCCAATCCAGACATCTAATTGCATGACTAAACAAACATAGGATACAAATCCAATCCAACCAAATAGTCCTAGGACAATGTATCCCGGGACTAACAGTCCGATGGATTACAATCCCCTCTTATCCAGTCCGTCCAAACAACCACACCCTAAGAGGTTATTTGGGATGTCCTAAATAAGTGCATTTTTTATCTTTTTGAACTAAAAAGTTAAGAAAAAAATATGGATGTTTGGGTTAACTTTTTGTCTTTTTACAAAAAAATGTATAATAAAAAATTATATAAATAAAGTGTATAGGGAAGAAAGTTGAGTAGGTTGTACGGCTGCCTACAGCTCCCGGTTGCCCCAGTATGTCTTACACAAAAAATAATTGTCTCATTCAGGGCAAAGTGTTTGGACAATGATGGTCGGTCCATGGGGCCCACAATGGGTCTCATTTTAATAATCTAAACCGTTGAATATGTACAACTCGTTGAGTATTATATGTGTATAAAAAATCATGTTAATCGGATATCGATATTTATATGATCGGATTAGTTGATTTTCAATAGTTAACTATCACACTATCCATTTTGTTTATACAAAACTGAGTTGATCATATAGTTAACGATATCCGATCAATGTGATTTTTTACAAGCATATATTATTCGACGATTTCTACATACTAAACAGTTCGGATTATCAAAACGGAACCCTTAGTGGCCCCCAATGGCCCAATATTACCATCAAATTTTGTGATTTTACATATGTAATTTTTTTTTGGCCCAAAAAGTGTACTTCTACTTCACAAGTACAGTTGACAGAATCATATCAAACTTTTGTATTATAAAAATATATAAAATATTTTTTAATATTTTTTATTTATAAATAATAATAATTTTTTAACTATTTATATAATTTTTTAATTTTTTCAATTATTTTAAATTTGCCAGACTAACCCTAAAAAATCCTCACCCGTAAAGTGGGTTGATTAATAACTTCCCTGCCAACTGGTACTGGTCGTCATCACCACCATGTGGTACCATGTAATTATTAGGGTGTAGGTACACTTGGAATGAGTCACTAAAGTTTTCCAAGTGACAGTCGTTGTCAGCGGATTTTAAGCTGCAGGTACGTTGTAGAATTATAAGGGTTGTTTTGGAAAGATGGTAAAAAGTGATTTTTTTTACTTTTAATTAAGTTTTTGGTTTTTTTAGATAAATGATTTGAGAGGTTGGTAAAAAGTGACTTTCGACCTTTTTTTATTAATGTTTGTTTATGATGTCAAATCATAATAAAATGACCAAACAACTCCCATTTATTTAAAATATTTGCAACTTCACCTATGTAAGGTTAATTGAAAAAAGACAAATGACATATACCTCCTTCGAGGTTTCAAAAATTATATTATGTTCTTGAGATTTGTATTTTTATAATAATTTACCTTTTAAAATTTATATTTCATAACAAATTATCACTTAATTTGTTATGTAAATATAACATTTAGGGAGAAATTTATAATTTCTCAAACATCAAAAATATTTATAATTTAGTCAAACTTCAAGAGATATATGTAATTTGCCCTTGAAAAAATTATTTGGAGTGATTTTGAATGTTATATGTAAATATATTTTTTGATTTTCTATAAAAAAAATATAAAAAGTAAATAGAAAAATAGAAAAGAAATGTTGTTTGATGTGATTTAAATAAATGTATGTACAAAAAAAAAATTAATACGTACCAAATATCTACTTTTAGTGTAGTGAAATGGTTTTAAAAAGGTAAAATAAAATATATTTATTTATATACTGTGCGGGGAGCAAATATTCAAGCAAGCTCGCACTCCTTTCTTTCAAGTTCCTCCTTGTCCGATCGACCTGCGAGCACAACGACGGTGAGCTACCCGATGGTGTGTGGCCGGAAAACCCCTCCGACGATCAAGTTAGACACACACACAGGGATAGGGAGGGAGTGAGAGGAGGGTGTTGAGTGTTTAGTGTATGTCTCACCAAATTGTCATCTGTCTAGGCATGGGGGGCGCAGACCCGCTTATATACCTTCTGCGCCCCAAATCTACTCTCATTCGTCTCTCGACACGTGGTGCTGCTATCCCATCCGTCAGCACAAATCTTGCTGTACATTACCTAACCCAACTGCCAGCCCATTCTGCTGGGAGCTCGGCAACCGGGGTACAGCATCACGGCCGCCGACATCCAGGCTGCACTTCATGCCCAAGTGTAGCAATAGCCGAGCTCCGTCTCTATCGTGCTCAACTGCATTCCGGCGAAGTCAAGCTCCGGAAAGGTCACGCCGATCAACCAAAGGCTTTCCTACCGAGCTTCTGGCACGAGCTTCCCTGCCGAGCCAAAGGCGTATGCCTTCTGGCCGAGCAACGCAAGTTGCACGGTCACCACCGGTGCGAGTAGTTCGGCCACGGGCCGAGCGGCCCCAACTCCGAGCAAGTCCTAAGCTATCTCGGCCCAACACGCCCTTGGGCC